GTGACCCTCCCTGCTCCTCTCCCCCATCCCTCCCAGCGCTTCCCAGTCTGACCCAGTAGTGCCTCTACTCCCCTTCCCCAGCTCCTCTCCATCCCTCCATGAGCCTATGGGCTGGGCCAGGGCAGGTGGCTCCCTGGTGATACTCCTCTGCTGCTTCCTGCAGCTTTTATGACCATGGTGCTGATTTTCCTTCACACCTTCTGGGGGATCCTCTTCTTCCACGGCTGTGAGCACCGGTGCTGGTGGGAGATCACAGCTGTTGTTGTCATGCACCTCACTGTTTCGGGGTCGGTGAGTAGCCGGGAGCAGAGCTCTGCGCTGGGACCTATATTTGGGGATGGCTGTGGTGCGTGCTGGTCCCTGTGCTGGGGGTGCAACAGCCTTGAGCACTAGAGAAGCAGTTGGGTTTTGGGGATTTGCAGCCGTCCCCACACGGGACAGGCCCTTTGAAATCTGAATGCCAAAGCTGGTGTCTCCTGTCCCATTCTGCTCATTGAGGTGGTGACACTGCCACCTGTCCTGGCCCTGTCCTCTCCTGCCTGCTCACCCCTTCCCTCTCCCACCTCTCTCCCCAGACATTTTGTAACCCCCTGTACATGGGCAGCCTGGTGCCCTCCTACCTGCTGATGGCCACCGCTGCCACTTGGGCTTACCTGCTCTCAGGGGGCTCTGCCCAGAACCTGCTGCGCTTCCTGCTCTGTAAGTCCTGCTCCGTAATGGGGACAGGGGACCCTGCAGGTTCCTCTGCGTACCTAGACCAGTGCTGGGGTGGGGAGAGGGTGCCCCAGGGGCTGGAGCAATGACATCATCCCCTTGGCTGCCAGACTAGAGGAGATGGTCAGGTTATTGCCTCTCCTGGGGGAAGTGGATGGGGTAAGGAGTCTGGTGAAGACTGCCCCCCCGCCCCTTTTTGCTTCCCACAGGTCTACGGAGAAGAGCCAGCCCTCAGCTGGAATCCTGAGGCCCTGTGGGATGTTCCTGTCCCCAGCCGCCCCTGCCCTCCCCTCTGTTCTGGCGGCAAGAGCAGCCATCACCTTCTCTGCAATATCTTTTCTCCTGGACTGGTGGACACTGGCCAGGCTCCGT